TCAGTTTCAGCCTGAAAGCCTGAAAACAAGGGCCTACAGGCCCCGTGTCAGTTTCAGCCTGAAAGCCTGAGAACAAGGGCCTACAGGCCCCGTGTCGTTTCAGGCTAAATCAGGGCCTTTCCGGCCCCGAGTATTTTCACCCTGAAACTGAGGACCATTTTCAGGCCCTCATCAGTTCGACCTGCCCCGAAACTCAGGCACCAGACCAGTGTTTTAGCTCAGGCCATTTTTGGCCTCTTTTCAATACAACCTTTGTTTGAGCTTCAACCCCAGGGTCTGGCACATTTTGGTATTGGCAAGAGCAGCCTCCTGGACGGGCCAGCACTATATAAGACTGGCCCGCCCTGCAGGCTGCAGGTAAATGGGAGGTAGCTCCTAGGTACTTCCCTGGCACTTCACGTGCAGGCAGGAGGCAGTCAGTAGTCTTCGGGATTCGGCAGCAGCACTCTGGAGGAGCGCTGCAGGAGTAGTAGTAGCGTTAGCTGTAGTCTTCAGCGCTGAGCGCCAAAGCTATAGTACTAAAGAGAGAGAGATTGGGCGGAGGCCAGGGATACTTACCTGCAGCGCCGTTGCTCCAGCTTCGTCTTCGAGGTACCTGCAGCACAGCGCCATCTTCACAGGTTAGTACCTGGCATAAGAGAGAGAGAGAGTTCTTCTTCTTCCTCTTCTCAGTCCACCATCTCCCTCTCACCCACTCACTATCTGACTTCACTGCATCAGCAGACTACGAGAGAAAGACAGAGAGAGCTTGGTGACATTGGATCCAGACTCGACATTGGACTTCCGACATTTTGAAGAGTGATTATTTGGGACTTGTAACGAGACTTGGTGTTGACGACTTCCCCATCTTCCCCTTCCTCTTCCTCGTCTGATCCCCTCCTCTTCGTCTGTGTATGTCTGGACCTGACGCTTCTTTCCTGTGTATAACGCCAGGCCCCTCTCACACCTTGTGATGAGCATGATGTATGTTTGGTCTGCGTTGAAACATTGATTGGGCTAGTCATTAGTACTCTAGCATTCTGCTCCGCTATCCTGCACTACGTGAAAGAGGTCAGTCCCGGTCAGGTCAGGATTTGTATCTAAGTCTTCCCTGCGCTATTACGCACCATTTTGTATGTATTGGAATGCACATTGCTTGTTGAGATTCTACTTGCACTGCATTGTCCATTCAGTCCTTTTTATCACATTGCGGATCCT